ACGAATTGGATTATCCACTGCAGAATAGTCCGTATAATGCGGAGGTTTGTAGTATAATTTTTCAAACATCATCGTTATCTTAGTTTTTTCCAAATGAGTTTTTCCAAACCGATTTTTTTCCGTTTGTAAAGATGCGAGGGTATCAATTTTTCATGTATGAGAAAAATCAGTGAACTTTCCTCGTCTATTTCTTGTTCGTAATTTTTACTCTTTCCTCGCGCTTTCAATACAATCGATGAGAAATTCGTGCTTTCATTATAAAAAGAACTCGCCCGAAGTCGAAGTTTTACGCTGTTTACACTAACACTGTAGACAATAATCTTTTATTTCTCACCAGCATAGAAGGTATGTTCAATGCACGGAATAATAGCGCAAACTGATTTCTACCCATTTTATAATACTTTCACAGTTTTTCTCTCGCATATCGCGACGTTTATCAAGTCACTGATATTCAAATCTTTCACGACGTTATCTATAATCACGATTCCATACTCGTTCCTAACTAATTCTATCAGGCACAGCTTTTCGAAACAAAAATTTCATCAGTAAGTGCGTATGCTTACGATAAGATTTCGGTACGCTTTCCACTATTCCTTCAATGCTTTTCATCGCGTGTTTATTCCTCGCATCATTATGCTCGCTCGAAATTTCGAAATTTTTCGTAATAATACCGGTGTTACCGATGGAATGTGCTGGTGGTATATCAGTTGTTTGCGTGAGATCGTGAAAAATGTCATCGTTCGTTGTCTCTGTTAACGGAGGCATCTCGTGTAGTGTTGACTTTTGCATTTTCGTTTTCATTGCGTGCGTCTTTCTATCTTCGCGTTTCTTAGATAAATCGCAGGTATCGATATAATGCCTCTCTGTATATTTTCCATCTCTCACTTTCGTCGCGCGATCAATCAAAATTAAGAATACGACTCATCTCCGCATCGAATCGTGTTAGATCAGTTCCGGGGATTTGCGTTGTATTATTAGTGCTCGCTGTGCTATCCGAATTTTGCATTACTGCGATTTCTTTTGACTCTCCGCCAGCGAATGATGTCGGATTCTGACATAGCTGATGCATTGCATTCTCTCGAGATTTTCTGTCGAAATTAAAACCATTTTTTGGACCCTCTCCATAATGTTTTATTCTCGTCATTTCTATCTTTGACAATTAGTGATAATAAGATCCTATAATATAAGGTCCTATAATATATTAGCGATAATATAGGTCCTGTAATATAAGGTAAAAATCCGCCTCTCTGCACCAACAGCTTTTTTTTATCCTTTCAATTACCACGTTTTGCAACGATGCGACGCAGAGCGGTTTTGTATTTGGTTAACTGATTTTTTTCACGACGTTCGAGCGAGACGTTACCTTTGAGTGTATTAAAAACACATTCGCAGATACAACAGATTAGTTTTTCGTCAGCGCTGCGTAAGAAGGTTGTGCGTTGATTTTTGTTCAAATGATAGAACGCCGCGAGGAGACAGGCGTTTCTCTTATTGATCGAATGTGAGGCAATTTTCGTCGCACTGTGCGATTTCTTGTCACCCATCTTTATCGCGAGAAAAATCTACGACTGACACGTACAATTATCTGTATTCGCTTTTTATACGAAATCCGCTAGAAAATGATCTATGCGGCACGTAGACATAATAAATTGTATCCTCGGGAAAAATACACATTCGAAATCGATACTCGTCCGGGATTGATTGTTTCAGATCGAGCAGCAAATAGCCGTGAGGCTTCGTCGTAACGTCGTAGTATGCCTCTTCTAGAAATTTCGGATTGTCGGGATAGACTTGACGCGCTAAATGACGAATTTGAGCGCGATCACGTGGATTTTTGAAAACGACGATGTAATTCGCGTTGAGCGATATATCACAGTATTGATCACGGTCCTGATGGAAGAGATTCTGCGATATAAGAATAACACTGAGATTCTTATGATGACTGCCTTTGGTGAAAAGATCCACGATCGCATCAGACAACGACGATTCTCTCATAAGATCGTCGATTATCACTAATTTCGGAGAAAGCGGATCGTTCGAGTAATCTTCCGGACGGGATAAACTTTCGCAAAATTATATTCTTCTTCGTTGCTTTAGTATTGCCTCATCCCCAACTTTATTCTTCGAGCTCTTTTTCATGAGTGTCGTAATTGTCAATAAGCTTTTTGCCATTCCATATAATAGAACAAAACTCTCTCGAAACGTACGCCGGACATGAAAGATATCGGAAAAAAGGCTTTGCAAAAATCGTTTTTCCGCATCCAGTCGGACCGCGATCGATGTCCATGGATGTTACCAGCATGTTACGTCCATTTGAAATGAGCTACTCTATTACCGTGCAAGACTTCAAAAGCAAATAAAAAAAAATGGCGCTTAATAATATTTTCAAGAATATACAAAGGAAAAAATTTAAGGAGAGGGGGATAAACTGATCAACGCAGCGGAGGCCTACTACGCACTCGCGTCAGCATATCCCCAGCGTAGACTAGCCGACGAGAGCGGCGATCTTTCAAGCTGATTCTTGCCGCGATGCGACGCATATAAGCTTATCCACAACAAAGTCAGCGTACAACAATTTCTTTGGGACGTGGCATCGCCGCTAACGAGCTTATACGCGATGCCGCGTGAAAAGCTTATGATAGAGAGAAAAAGGTGTAAAAAAATTTTCTTGTAATTTAAATATAAAACATTTTATTTTTTATATTTGATATTTATTTTTTACATAAAGTGTGAAAAAATGGAAAATAAGTTTTCGTATTTAATCGATTTTTTCAAATGTTTCAAGTACAATTTCATATAGTGAAAATATTTTACATTATTCACATTATTAAAGTTCAATAAAATTTTTAGTACTAAAAGATTTAACAATAATATTCATATTTTATTTTACAAAATCATGTATTACAATTTTACATTTTAATAACCTAAATGTATATCTAATCGGCGGAAAACTCGATGACCTATATTAAAATGTTCCTATATTAAAATAAGAGAGAAAGCAAGAGGAAGGTTATTCATCTATGAAGCCGTAAGGAAAAGAATAACGATTATTGATAAATCTACTAATACAGGCGCATGACTTTATCTTATTTCGCTTTACAATTTCATGAAACGCAGTGCGTCGAATTACAGTAAAACGCAAATTTATCGTCGATCTCTCCGTTTCTTCTTTTGTTTCTCGCCTTTCTCTCTCATTTTCTACTAATCTCTAATTTCTTAATATTAATAAAGTTTAAAATTAAGAAATTTTTATAATCAAAAGATTTATAATTAAAAGATGACTTAACGTATAACGGAAGTTGCGTATGACTGATGGGATTCCATTCCTAGAGCATATGGTTTAACGAAGATACATAAACAAAATTATCCTCTGAGAATCATTGTTTTATCTTTAAATAGCCCATTATGTAATCTATCATTGTTTCTGCATAACATCATTACAGATTCTATACCAGAAACTCCTAGTTTTATAAAAAATAGCTTTGACTTAATTAATAAACTTAAAGATGTTAAACCAGATTCTATGTTGGTTTCTTTGGATGTGATATCTCTATTTACTAATATACCTACAGATTTGGCATCTGATAGTGTGGTTGGAAGGTGGGATGCTATATCCAAGAAAACTAAAATTTCTTTGGACGAATTTTTGATTGCCTTTCGGATGGTTTCAAATCCTACGATTTTTATCTTTAATAAAAAAATATACAAGCAAATATTTGGGACCTCCATGAATTCACCCTTGTCATCTATTGTTGCAAATATGGTTATGCAGACTTTGAAAAAATGGTTATCGGAATGCTGCCTTGTCGACTGCTATTTTATTATCGATACATTGATGATATTATCTTAGCTGTTCCGTCTGAGAGTGTTGGTGATATTTTGGATATTTTTAATTCGTTGCACACTAGATTGCAGTTCACTATGGAGATTGGCCTTGATGGAAAAATAAGTTTTTTAGATACGATGTTGATTATTGAAGAACGGATCTTATTTTTGATATATACCGTAAAGCAACCTTTTCCGATAGATTTCTTAATTTCCATTCAACCATCCACTTTGTCATAAAAGAGGTGTAATTTATGGCGTTGTGGATAAGATTTTTTGTTTGTGTCATCTGAAATTCCAACGAAATAATTTGACGCTATTAAGATTTTTTACAGAATGGGTATCCGTTACGTTTCATTTTTTCAACTATTCATAATATAATTAAATATCACATTAACAAGATTAATAATTTGAATAAGAATAAGGATGACACTGAGAGATTTTTTACGATTCCATATGTCAATACGATATCCGAAAGATTTATACCTATTATTAACATGTTTAATTATTATTATTGTAAATTCGCTTTTATCATTCTTAACACATTAAGAAGTTTCATAAAGAGAGGAAAGGATGATTTGAACACGTTCAGAATCAAAATGTAGTCTACAGAATATCTTGCGAGGATTGTGATGTCAGTTATGTTGGCCAGTCTCAAAACAATCCATAGATCTGATCACTCCCCCTGTCATCGATTCCGTTATCTAGGAGATCCTTAATTATTCCCCTCCTCCTCTCGAAGAGCGATTCCCTCCCCTTTCTCCTTTAAATCCCCTCCTTTAGCTCCTATCTCCTCCATATCAGGCAGACTCCGTACCGATCGACTGAGATAGGCTCTTTAGACTGTATTCCTTTCCCTTCAATGAAGGAGATAGATTAGTGAGTATTTATATTCCAGGAAATTCCACCCCTTATACCGTTCTGTATAAGCACTTCATTCTAAAAAATGTGCTCCTGCACCTCCTTTCTCGCCTCCAATTTCCAATAACCCTATTTTCCTCTTTTCCTATTAATCTTCTTCTTACACACTCACGTAGGCAAATCAATAAGTATCTGTGTTTCAAGACAGGCGACGTTGCTGATGCAAATTGGCATTATTATCATACTACCATCTTTCGACGCCATACAAAATTTTAGAGTGATTCATTCAATATTTTACATGATAACTTGAGAATGAAAAAGCTGTCGGCCCGATGGGTGCCGCAATTGCTCACAATGTACGGGCTCACGCCTCTGCAGTCGCCACAGCCAAATTGGTCGAATTACGCTACGAATTGTTGCCGCATCCACCATACTCTCCGGATTTAGCCCCCTGTGTGACTTCTTCTTGTTTCCAAACTTGAAAAAAATGGCTCGGTGGAAAGAAATTCACGTCGAATGAGGAGGTCATCGCTGAAACAGAGGCCTATTTTGCAAAGTTCAACAAATCGTATTTTTCTAAGGGGTTAAAAAAATGGCAGAAGCGTTGAGAAAAGTATATCCTCCTAAAAGGGGATTACTACGTTGAAAAATAAAAGAAAATTTTGTGAAAAGCTTGCGTCTTCATTACTAACACGGGTACTTATTGATTTCTCGTATAGTTACAAATTTTTCTGTATTTAAATCTAGGTCCGTACTTATGTAAATCGCGACGCACACACATTTACATCTCTACAAATTTCATTAGACTAAACGGACCATTGTAATTGATTTTAAAAACAAACTTGACTGTAAAAAAACTTAATAATGATATGTTTTATATACAACACACACACACACGCATACCACACACACACACCACACACACACATCACACACACACACACCACACACACACACACACCACATACACACACCACACACACACGTAAGTTTTATATGAAACTTAATATATTTTTTTCTTTTTTTTAATAAATATAAGTTTATATTTAATACGCATGCATAAATGAAGATCCTGTCAGTTTACATTTATTTTAAATCATCACTTGTATTCCGTTCCCTCTAATACTTGAGGTCGCACAAGGTCCCGGGTCAAAAAGATTAAGTTCCTTGACCCAAAAAGTAAAACCGACGTTCGCACTGTCCATCGGAATAGATGTCATAGCGTCCTTTTACGTTGACTCACATTCCAGAAAAAGTGCGACGACTTACAGTTGTTCGCCTCTGTGCATATACCTGTGAGATTGAGTCTAACCGTTCCATACCCTTTCCATTCTCCCTCACTGTCTCCTTGATCAAATTCTCAAGGATTTAGTAGCAGCAATATATATATGAATTTTTTTTTTATACAATAATATTAGTAATTTATTGTAATTTTTACTCTTATCGCATGGATTTAATTTGAAAGTATAATCTGATTATGCTATAATTTTCTAATTAATTTTTAATATATTGTAATTACATATTGTCGTATTTTAAATTGTTGATATCGCAGTAAAATGTAAATTTGTTTTGCCAGTCCAAAACATCTAAATAAGATCATCGGATTAAAAAATGAGATTATGTGACGTATAATATATGAAAGTAATGTACTTCAGTATTATACGTAGAATACCTATGTATGATATGTTCCCAACCCTGCATCAATACAAGATGTACCATTGTGCATAACGGCGATAACAATACTAGAAACAATTAATCAAATTTTGGCCTCTATGCATTTTTCTATGTATAATAGCGCTGATACATTGGAATAATCAATCACAATTCACTCTCCTATTGCGTATCCTCGGGAAGATACATCTTGTATCGTTACATCATGGCGATAAAAAAAAAGTAGAGTCAGGGATTCAGCACAATAAAAGGAACAGGGAACAGAGAATAAGAATTTCAACCTATTAGAAATCATGTATTGTGGAATACACAGTTTCTAATAGGTTGAAATTCTTATTCTCTGTTCTGTTTCTTTTGTTGTGCTAAGTCTCTCAAGTATGCTAATTCTGGAACGGTTTACGACGTGATCAATGCTAGTCGACGGTTTAGTGCGACCAGTAGCTACACATTTAAGTATGAGTTATATACACAGACTTCTATATATACTATTAGACTGCTACTTTTAACTTTTTAGAACTTATGTGAAATGAACTCCGAAATTATATGGTAGTTCTGCGCATGCATCACGAATATACTCAAAGAAATGCAGTATTGGCCGCATGCAAATTTTTGCATAACGCACAGTGCATAAACGAATCAACTAATCAGAATCTTTCCTTCCCTCTCTCTTCCTCATTTGTTACGTCCCGGGAAGATTCGGCTGGTTTTGAGCTAACCCGAGACTCTAGGTTTAAAAATTGTTTCGCGGTTCGCGCCTCGAGAAAGATCTCGGCCATATTTGTCCGACCAATTGATTGGCTCGGAAAACCGGGCACTAGGTATGCCGATTATGTTAGATTCCGGATCGCTCCACGGCTGCTCTCCCGTTCTCCCTAGATACGCGACGAATCTTTCGAGGATTTCAGGACACTCAGAGTAATTCGCGAGGGCATGCAAAGTGATTGCTAATACTGAGCACATGTTACAAAATTCAAAGCGTTCAGGACGACCTAAGTGGATATGCCGCAAGACCTCTTGATAATTTCTCTTTTCGATTTTTGATGCAGATATTTGAAACATATAATTATAATTGTTTCTCTATTATATCTTTTATTTTATATATCTTTTCTCTTGGAAAAATAGCGATGATACGCAGCATGCACTATTTAATTAGGAAGTATGCGGGCTAATAAAATTCCAGCATCGATAGAAGGGCGCGAAGATGGATGTGTGGGCACATGCTATGCACGCGGTTAATAAGTAACAATGATTGATTAACGACGTGCTTACCCTGCTAACTTACTCGGCGCTCGATTGTATTTGATGATGCCCTCAAATATCGATGGAAATAGATGATCAGCGTCCCAGGCCTCCGCAACTCGAAGTGGATTAGGCTGTTGGTTCTAGGTCTCGTAGAAAAGCTGCTCTCTCTCTCTCTCTCTCTCTCTCTCTCCCTCTCCCTCTCTCTCCCTCTCTCTCTCTCTCCCTCCCTCCCTCCCTCCCTCCCTCTTTCTCTCCCTTTCTCTCTCTCTCTCTCTCTCTCTCTCTCTCTCTCTCTCTCTCTCCTTCTGGTGTGGATGATTATATCGTGCAGAGTTCGAAGAGATGGGGTATTGATTCGAGTTAGTTTATTTAGGTGTATATTTATAATTCACACCAATACATTACTTACTAATAGTCTATTTATTGCTAATTATTTTTAGATTTAAACATTTGAATTGACTTGTAGAATTAGAAGAAAAAAAATAAAAGCTAATACTTTTAGGCCTTGGAATTAGAAGATTAAGATTTAGAAATTAAATTCTTCTAGATTTAGAAATTAGGCTTCTCACATGGCACTTAAACTATTGTAAAACGACGGAGATAGGTTAGTCAACGGGAGGAGCCGACGATTCACGCATGACGACACGCGCTGTTATTCTCCGCTCTCTTACATTTTCGCCCGTAGGCGTTTCTAACTCCCCCTTCCGTTGACCCCACTGGGAAGAAGCGTCAGGTATGTCTCTAGAGGTTTATTGTCTGCGCTACTCACACTTTGTTCAAAATTATTACTGGACAAAATGAGATTGTTATGAACGTGACATATTCCATGAAAAAGAAAAATTTCGATTGGTACATTCCCTTATATATGTACTATGCATTATGCGTTATGCAAGAGTCTGTACTGCAGTCATTAAGCGGAAGCACAGACTCTTAGGGTATATCCACACAAACTTGTATAGGCACATAAACGTATATATAAAAAAATTATCCAATCGCATTTCTCCTATATAGACGCACGTAAAATGTGATTGGATAATTTTCGTTTATGCAAGTTTAAGAGTCTGTGCTTCTGCTTTATGACTGCAGCACAGACTCTTGCATAACGTATAATGCATAGTACATATACAGGATTGGCCATATTCGACGGAAAGATGTTTTTTTTTTTCAATCATGGGAAACGTCGTTACTCGATCTAACATCTCTGTCAAAAGTTACAGTGTTGCCAGATCTTTCCGTCGAATATGGCCAACCCTGTATAAGGGAATCTACCAATCGAAATTCTTCTTTTCCATGGAATATGTCACGTCCGTAACAATCTCATTTTGTCCCTTACATAACGGATAACATAAGACATAAGAAATCCAACCAAAATTCTTTATTTCCTTTCTTTTTATAAAGTAAAGGACTCTGATTGGTTGATTTTCTGCGTTCATGTTTTATGCAAGAGTTTGTGCTCCCTGTTTAAGGCTGCTTTTTTATGCTGACGCTTGACGCTCGAATCGAACGTCAAAGATCTCTATTCAGCTCCGTAGGAGTATACAAAATACCTTGTTTGGCTTAGTCGTGTCTCCATATCACGAATGTGTCGTCTACATAACGGAACCAAACTTCTGGTTTTTTCCGACTTCATCCCACTAATAGAGCACTGCTTAACAACCACTTATTTCTCCTATAACAATCAATTTTATGAACAAATTTCAGAAGCGACAATGAGCTCTCCTATGTCTCCTGTAATCGCCAACATCTTCATGGAGCATTTTGAGAAAGAGAAACCTCAAAAAAACACTCAAAAAACTAAAAGTTTGATTCCGTTATGTAGACGACACATGATATGGAGGCACAGCAGAGCCGAACTCCATAAATTCCTTATTTTCCTTAACAATCAACATCCAAATATTCATTTCATAATAGACATAGGGGAAAACGGAAAACTCTCCTTTCTAGATGTTCTTGTACCTAAGAAAGCTGATGGTACCTTAGGCCATCAAGTATACAGAAAATCAACACACATATAGATCTACATGCCGAGTCGCATCACCACTCAGCACAAAAATAGTCTGCAATCAACTCACTTGTACATAGAACTTTCATCATCTTTGACAAAGAACATCTACAGACAGAACTCAATCACTTAAACTAGCCTTACAAAAAAACGGATACACAAAAAACGGCACGACAAAAAAGATATAATCAAAACAATCAATAAACATACAAACAAGACAACGATCTCTGACACAATCAGATGACAAAATCCTATCCATTCTCCTATATCAAAGGAACAACATATCAGATTGACAGGCATTAAACAAACACAATATTCGAACTTTAAATCACCCAAAAAGATAGGACAAATCTAGAAATCCTAAAGATCAAAGACTTCCACTCAGCTCCGCAGGAGTATATAAAATACCTTGTTCCTGTGGGTAAGTATACATTGGAGAAACTAGGAGAATGATCAACCTATGGATAAAAGAACATCAACGTGATGTCAGGCTAAAACACCTCATGCAATCAACATTATCAGAATACAACATCGAAACAGGACATCAAATCCTGTTTGACAAAACGACCACAATAGTCAACATTACATTATATTTTCCAAGAAAGTATAGAGAAGCCATAGAGATACAAAAACACCCTAATAATCTAAATAGAGATAATGGCTACAACATAAATAAAATATGGAAAACTATTCGGTTATTGAAGACTGACCAATTTCCCCCATCTATCCGCAATTCTCTTCTTCTCCCCACCACACAAGTAGCGTAATATAAAAGGAATGGGCCGGAGGAACAGCTCAATATCAAGTTGCTCCTCGCCCTGATGAAGTGGAATGCAAGGTTCACGAAACGTTGGCATTCTAAAAATGGATCTGAACACGGAGGAAACCCGCGAAACGCATAATCTTTATAATACAGGAA